TGTATATCAAGAATAACAAAATCAACAGGATATGTGAATGCACCCACACTGACAAGCAGATCCTCTATGATTCCCCTAGGATGCACAATGGAACGATCAGCCAGCTGAATGCTCATCCTAGTAGGGCTAAGTTCACCTAGGTCTAGCTTTTTATACAACTTATATGGCATGACGTTTATGCTAGCGCCTAGGTCCGCCAAGGACTTGCCTACATGCATGCTGCCAATAGTAAGAGGGATAGTAAAACTCCCTGGGTCTTTTCGCTTCTCGGGCAGCTTGTTCTGCAGGATAGCAGAACACTCCTCACTGAGCATCACTGTCGAAAGATCCCCAAGTTTCTTCTTGTCGGTGAGGAGGTCTTTCATGAACTTGGCATACTTGGGCATCTTCGACAGTGCCTCCACGAACGGTATGCTGATGTTGAGCTGCTTCAACATTGCCATGAACTTGGCAAACTCAGTCTCCAGCTTGTCTTTGTGTAGGCGAGTGGGGAAGGGAAGCTGGGGCACATGCTCCTTAACCACTGGTTGTGGCTTTGGAGCAGGGGCTTCCTTCTCCACCCGCACTTCTGCATCGTCGGCTGGAAGTGCTGAAGCAGGTAGTGGTTCCTCCTGTCTGGCCGGGACAGGATCAACAGATATGGTCTTACCGCTCCTGGTAAAAATGGCATCCAGCTGCTGGAGCTGGTGAGGATCCCGAGGATTCGGGATAGTGGTGGTAGGCAGAGTCCCCGGTGCCCTAGTAGTGTGTTGGCGGGCCAAGATGCCCACCTGGGTCTGCAGATCTTGCAAAATGGCACCCTGGTTCCGCTGACCTGCCTCCAGTGACGTGATAGCTGCCTGAGTGCTAGTCATGAATGAAGCTAGAATATTTTCCAGCTTTGTCAACCGGTCATCTGGGGCCGAAGCTGCTGCTGGCTCGACAAACTGACGCTAGGGCTGTTGGAATGGTTGCCCCTGCCTAGGCTGGTAGGGCTGCTGCTGTGGGGTTGGCCCCTGTCGAGCCTGGAAGGGCTGCCTCTGCTGAAAACCACCTGCTGGTGCTGGGAAACCAGGTGGTTTAGTGGTGTTGCTGCTCCAGGCGAAGTTGGGATGCTGGCGCCACCCCTCATTATATGTGTTGTTGTACGGGTCAAGGCGCCGAGCATTGGCGATGAAGTCCAACTGCTCTTGGGGAGTGGTAGACTCCCTCATAGCCTGGCAGTCCTCCACTAGGTGATTGGAGCTCTCGCACCACTGACATTGAGCTACTGGAGGTGTAGCCAAACCTCTGCCCGGAATCAGACTGTTGGGTTGCTTCAATGTCTGCACTAACTCAGCTACCTTCTGCTCAAGCCCTTATCTGGTCTCCATGGCGTGCACACCACGGTCCCGGGAATGTCTGCCTCGGCTGCTCTGCCCCTAGGAATGATCTCTGGAAGCCAAAGTATTGATCATCTGGTTCAGCTCGGGTGGAGTCTTAGTAAGAATATCCCCTCCTGGGCATAGAGACTCAATCACCCTCTGGCTATCTGGAGAGAGAGCACTGTAGAAGTTTCCCACTGTGAATGCATCACTGAAGCCATGATGGGGACACTGCCAGAAATATCCCATGTACCGCTCCCATGCATCACGAAGTGACTCATCTGGCTCTTGGCGGAAGTGAGTGATCTCCCGCTGGATCTCTGTAGTCCTCGATGCCGGATAGTACCTGTGCACGAATTTGTCAGCCAGATCGTCCCAAGAGGTTATGGACAATGGGGGCTGGGTCTCCAACCACCTCTTAGCATTCCCCGCCAGAGAATGGGGGAAGAGATGAAGGCGGATTGCATCATCAGGGACACCATTCAGCTTGAACCCGTTCGTCAGCTGCAGAAAACGGGAAAGATGCACCCTGGCCTCCTCATCCTTCAAGCCATGGAACTGGATAGAAGATGTAATGAGCTGAATCCAGCATGGCTTGATCTCGAAGTTGTTTGCTGGAATAGGCGGGTAGAGGATGACCGGGCGGATGTCAGCAATCCGTGGAGTGTAGTAGTACTCCAAGGTGGGACCCGGCGGCGGGTGATGATGATGAACTCCATGATCCTGGGATATGGGGTTGTTCCCCAGGACCTGATTCACCGGGGGAACCTGCTGAGGATTCCCCTGGTGCTGGTTGTAGTCTCCGTCCATCCCGTACTCTTCTTCAGAATCGCTACTCAGGTGGCCGTCTATGCGCTCTTCCGTAGCCAGTTTAGCTCGCTGTTGTCTCCTGAGCTAGCGACAGGTGCGGTCAATCTCTGGATTCAACGACAGTAAACCTCCTGACTGGCTACGTGTCATGCACTACCTGCACACACTCAAGCAAGCAAACCCGTGAAGGCACAAGTGGGACAAAGCAAACAAAGCGAAAAGAAAAGCTAAATTAACAGAAATCACTTTTCTTCAACAACCTAGCCGTCCCCGGCAACGGCGCCAAAAACTTGACTCACTTCTACTGTCACTCCATGAATTGGCCAAGTGAAACCACTTCCTAAAGCGTAGTATAGCGGGTTTGGGTTCAAATGTCAACCCGGGTCCTAGATTTGATGACTACTCAGTGAATTCTTGTTATCTAGCAATGAAACTTTAATGCAAGTCTAAACTAACAAACTAACAAAGCAAGTAAACTGTTGTATTCAGGTTAAGAGAGGTCACCCGGATATGGTTCCCCCTAGACTGCAGTTAAGCCGGATTGTAATTACCAAGTTCAGTTTCTATGATAGTTATACTGCGGAAGGTTCTTAAACAGCCTGAAGTCTCGACTAAAGGTCTTCAGTCCCTCTCAATCTGAGTCTCTAGCGGGCGACTAACCTCCACCGGAGTAAACAGATTGAGGCCTTAACAAACAAAACCTCCACTACCGGAGTAAATCCGGTACAGAATAGTGAGTTGGCTCCTCGACTAAAGTCACCAACTCCCTACCTTCAATCAAGGATGCTCTATCAACCTAGGCAGATATTCTCATTCTAGGTTAAAGTAGAAACAACAGGAATTTGATCAGGATTCAAGTCATTCAATCATTCAAACCTCAATCGAATATAATCAAATCATAGAATCAGTACTTGGGTTCATACAATCAAAGCCTAACATACAAATCTAGGACTCTCCATACCCAGATGAATGGGAGAACTACTCCATGGAGAAAGAAGCAAAAGCAGAATCAGACGCGGATTCATACTGTGAAGGATGGATTCCTGCTCCTGGACGTTGATCGGCACTTCTCCAAGCTCAAACTGGCCTCCAATGGTGATGAAGATCAAGCTAGGGCACTTGGAGACTCTTGTTCGTCACTTTCTCTCTCTAGGAATCGCTCTATCTCTCTCAAAACTTGAATCCCCCTCTGTTTTGGCTGAAATCTGCTTAAAAGGGCATCAGTGGCCAAAGCACGGTCGAGGGCACGGCCGTGTAATGCCTCAGCCCGCCCGTGCTTTGGCTAGGGTTAATTACACGGCCACCTGTTGGTGCAAACACGGCCGTGCTTTTGGGAGGACACGGCCGTGCTTTGATGGACACGGTCGTGCTTTCAGCCCGTGTAATCAGCTCATGTTTGCAAAACTCGAATTAGCTCTCGGCAGTAAAAGCACGGCCACAGAACACGGCCGTGTAATGCTTTAGGTGTGCCCGTGTTTTGGCTCCAGCTCGACGAAATGACTTCCGAATGCCCCGAAACTCGTGCTTAGCCTTCCCTTTGACGTCGGGGACCTGAAATATGACAAAATAGCACAACCCGGCGTAAAATAGGCCAAAAATACACGACTATGCCCCTCAAACGGATAAGAACTAGGGGCGCAAATATGTGCAATTACATCGTTATCATGTGGTAAAAAAGAATGCTCTCTATTAGAAAAAAACTTAAAGGACATACTAAACTCTATAAGATATTTTCTTTCATCCTAAAGGTTGATTATGTATGTATTATGAGAAACAATTCTAATATTCTATTATATGGTCAAATTAAGTAATGAATGACAATTAGTTATATTTATTTTTTTCATTCAATAATTATATGTAATGCTTATATTATATTTTTGTTCTCTTTTCATGGAGGTCTAAACACATTATGCATAGTTGGCTCACTTTTCAAAAATATTATGCGCATAACTAAGGTTATAAAACTATAATTTCATGCATTTCAAATAATCTACTATATTCATTATTATATAGCATATTTCTCGACAAAATTATTCCGGCCAACGGGTCGGGCCCTATGCTAGTTAGTATAAGGGTAAATACAATATAATAGCCAAACCTTTCATTTTAAATAATATAATAGGCAACCTTTTCGAAAATAATTTAATAGGCAAACTGTCAAATTTTTGTCCGATCAACCGTTAGTTGACTTTAACGTGGCCAGTTACTGTACACGTCAAATAATTTATTTTTCATTTTTTAAATTTAAATTTATTAGTTAATTTCCTAAAATGAACAAAAGGGTGGTGTTCCCCTCTCGGTTGCCTTCTAGACTCTTCCATTCTCTGCTCTGCACCTATAGGCTGCAACATCAATGGCTTCCATCGGCGGTGAGCGGAGCCAACGAGCTGATTTGGTTATTAAATTGTTTTCGAAAAAATTTGGCTATTATATTGTTTAAAATAAAAGGTTTGGCTATTATATTATAAATAAGATTTATTATTCCACAATTCACTCACATTAATCACACATCCAGTGCGATTTGGATTACTTGCAGGTGGGCGGGTGTCAAGCCGCGGATTACCCATCCACGTGTGCACAGCTATAGTAATAAGCAGGAATAAAATATTAACTATACGCTGTGCCTCCGTGGATCATAAATTATACGCTTTGCCTCGGTAGATAACAAGTGGATTATGCTTATGTATCAAATCTATCCGCTAAATCTGATTTATCTGTTCCGGAAATTATAAAACGGATTTCGTTTATCCAAATAACAACCTCCCATTTCAACCAAAATTTAGATTATCTGGGGAAAGGATGGGATACGATATTATATATACACTCGTTACTCCCCTTGGAATGCTTAACATATGTAGCTGTTTGTTTATTCTTTTCCGAGTATCCAAAAAATGGTGGCTGTCAAAGCTATTCTTTTCTTTTCGATATTGCTCTTAAGTTTTGCTCTCTTGTCTCGTGCTGATACAAGTAGTATCACAGTCACGGTGAAATCAGTGACCACCATAGCTAATACCGACAGCGACTTCATTTGCGCAACTCTGGACTGGTGGCCAAAGGACAAGTGCGATTATGGACAGTGCCCATGGGGGATGACCGGCATTCTCAATCTGGTATACACATATATGGTTATGGATTTCCTTTTTATTCCTTTCTTGGGTCATATCTTTAGTCGATTTTGTCCGCAATGATTAATGGGTTTTTTGAGTTGACCACTTTTAGGATCTAAACAACCCCAATTTGGCAAAAGCAGTCAAGGGTAAGTTCTGGGTTCGTGAAAGTTGTGACCTTAGGTCACTTTACTTCCAAATTGGGATATCATTCGAAACTGTTTGATGAAATGCCTCACAGAGGAAATATTAAAAACAACACTGCTTTTACGTTGCAGCTTTTGATCCGTTGAGGATAAGAGTCGGAGGTTCGTTGGAAGATCAGGTGGTGTACCAAGTTGGGCATGCAATCAAGAAGTTCCCCAGATTTAAGAAGCGGAAGGATGGACTGTTTGGGTTCAGCAGAGGGTCTCTTTCCATGAAAAGATGGGACCAGCTCAACAAGTTCTTCAGTGAAACCAAGTAAGAAGAGAAAAAAGAAAAAAAAAACTCCCTTCTCTGCAAATTACGTACCTTGGTGTTTCTTTATTCATTTGATTCTGGGTATTGCAGTACCAAAGTCATTTTCGGGTTGAACGCCCTCTTCGGCAAGAAGAATAAGGAGCCAACCACGATCCTTTGGGTTGGAGATTGGAACCCACATAACGCTCGTGATTTTATGAACTACACTGCTCAAATGGGATACAAGATCGATTCCTACGAATTCGGTCCGTATCTATTTCACGAAAACGTGCAAAAGGGATACGAGAAGTCGAGATCGATTTCTAAGACTTGATTACGTACTTAAAATGAGATGGTAACGTTTTTTAATGGTTCATTTTGTGCAGGGAATGAGCTGTGTGGTTCAGGGGTATCTGCTAGGGTTGAAGCAGAGCAGTATGCGAGAGATACTATCCAAGTGAGGAAAGCTGTGAATGAATTGTACCCAGATCCCAGTTCCAGGCCCAAAGTGTTAGGGCCAGCGGGCTTCTTTGATGAAGAATGGTTCAAGAAGTACCTTCAGGCTGTTGGGCCCAATGTTGTTGATGGTGTCACCCACCATATCTACAATCTCGGTGCAGGTAAGTCCACCCACTAGTAGCATGCGCATGTTCATAAATTGTTGTTGTCGTGTAGAGTAGAACCTCTTATCCAATTTGCACTGTTGTTTACTTTTCTTTAGGTGTTGATCCAAACCTGATACACAAGGTTCAGGACCCATTCTTCCTAGATGAAGTAGCACAGACATTCAAGGATGTTCAGGATGTAGTGGACCGGTCCGGCACAGGGGCAGCTGCCTGGGTCGGCGAATCCGGCGGCGCATTCAACAGCGGCGGCAGAGATGTCTCCCACACCTTCGCCAACGGATTCTGGTTCCTGGATCAGCTTGGAATGGCCTCCACTTTCAGCCACAAGGCCTACTGCAGGCAATCCCTCGTTGGCGGAAACTATGGCCTCCTCAACAGCAACACATTCACCCCGAACCCCGATTACTACGGGTATCATCCAACTGATTCAATTCAATCAATCCACTTATTCCAAATGCATACATTTCTGGGAATTCTTTTTGGGCTCACTGTTCTTGTGTGGGGGTTTTGGGAATCAGTGCACTTCTGTGGCATCGATTGATGGGGACCGGAGTATTGGCAACTACCCACGACGGTTCTCCATACCTGAGATCTTACACCCATTGTACTAAGAACCAGGTGGTAGCCAATCATGCACTTTCCCTCCTCTGTTTTCACGTTTCAGGATTTGTTTCTAGTGTTAATCATCAGATCCTGACAGGAAAATGTCTATCTCTTGTGCAGACTGGGGTTACGTTGCTTCTCATCAACATGGACAACTCCACAACCTTCAATGTCTGGGTTACCAATGATCTGAACATCTACAACGAAAAATCGGAATCGAGCTCTCTGACAGAGGACCGAGAAGAGTATCATTTGACACCCCAAGGAGGGAACATTCAGAGCGATGTGGTCCTCCTCAACGGAACTCCATTGAAGCTCACTGACTGTGGTGACATTCCAAACCTCCCTCCTAAGTACGTCCCAGCTTCGTCTCCGGTTACTGTGGCTCCTTCCTCTTTCGTGTTCGTCAGGATTAAGGATTTCAAGGCCCCTGCCTGCCAAAACAGATAGAACAGGACTAACCCTACTTAATTGGGTCTTTCTTTACTCTGTGGGTTTGTTAGTTTTCTGCCTTTACATTGATTTCTTTCTTGTACTACTTTAGGTTCTTGGAAGAACCCTTCGGCCACGTTAGAATTCATTGTAATTCAATTCATCAATTGTTAGATTCTATTCTTTGAAGACCAACTAACTCTGCCATAAAAATAAAAAAAAATCCTTAGCTTTCCGGAAAAGGATACCAGGCTTTTGCCTCTTGTCGTTCAAAGGGTATAACTTTCCGCAGAGATGGCTGCAGAAATGGGCAAGCTTGTCAAAGGAGGCAGAGAAATGCTTTCCTTAAGAATGAAGGTTTGTGTTATTCAAATGAAGGTATGATAAGCATGCTCTATATGCCAGCAAGCAATGTTGTCAGGCTTCACCTTCAAAATACCACAGCCATCTGATCTGAGGGGCAAGTTTTCAGTTTAAATCTAAGAGCACATCTCTTCCAGAAATGGACTACTTGATCAGGCAAACCAAGGGAAGGGTTTCTGGACAAACAAAACCTGCAACAGGGGGAGAGGCCAGCAGTTCCACAGAAAGAAGAATCCCACTACACAAGACCGAGTCCTACAAAGGTTTGTCTGTCCTCTGTAATTTCATTCATGAAAAAGCTTGAATCATTAACATAAAGCAAACATTGGTGGCAATGTACTCAAAATCACCCTTAAATTTGTAAAAAGGCTATTCTTTTACAATTTTAGACTACTAACCGAGTTAAACTCTACGTAAAATCGTTTAGTAAAACTCAATACTCAAAGCGGTCAAATCGTATAAAACATACTTTTTGAAGCATTTCTATCCATTTTCTTTCGAGGGCTAGCTAGATGGTTGAAAATTCAGCAAAAAAGGCGCCATATTGCAATTGTAAAATTCAATAATTCATCCAAAACATGACGACGATGATGTGGTGGTGATGAAGAACATTCGAATGCAAATGTCGAAATTAATGTATTAATCTAGTTTCATTTCTATTATTTAAAATATTTTATATGCTTTGATTTTGAGAATCCAATTATTGAACTTACTGACTTTTTGGTCCGTGCTTCGTGGTGGTTTCTTTGAATAAAATTTCATTCACTCATTTAACGATTTAATTGAAATAAAATTATTTACTAAATAGTTCTTGTAAACACTTCCATAACCTTTACTCAATATCTTGATTATTACGGAAGACTTACATAATATCTTTGTTTGATTGAAAACTAAGAAATAATTATTCTTTCAAACTTCATAAGTTTTTGTATACTAGAACGGTGTTGTTTAATCTTCCGTAATATGTAGTCTAATTAATAATCAAGTCAAATTTTATTAAACCATTATGTGGGCTAGGGACAGGAGGGTACACGTAGTGGGCTCTGAGTTTGGTTATGGGCCGAGTTGGGTTCATGGGTTGGATGTATGACATGACAGGCTTAGTGACGTGGCGGGTCGGGTTTGACCATTTAAAGCACAAAATATGTTTGTTTAATGGGAAACAAAATATGTTTGTTTAATTGCTACATAAGAGAATATTATTCCTTCGTAAAGTTTAAGTATTGTCTTAGTCATGTTACTGAAGACTTATTTTGTACGCTTTGTTTAATTGACCCCCAGTAAGATTTACGTAATTGTTGTAGAATGATGTTACGCAAATATTCTGTAGTTTGTTTATCTGTTGTATTGGAGAAAAATCACATAAACAACTACCTTGTATTTTATATATATAATTTATGAGTTACGATTTTTGTTATTGTGGAACTTTACCTTGTAATATATATTGTGAACTTATTTTTTGTCTTGAGATTTGCCCAACTATAACAGTTCGCCAAATTAGATTTATATAAATGAGTAGTGACTTCTTAAATGGGATAAAGTAAGTTATATGAAGTCTTATAAGAGGAGGGTTATTACAAAATGAATAAAAAACTTCACTTTTTTGTGCTACACAACACTTTTGCATGTGTTTCCGCTTGTGTCGTAGAAGGTTGCTTTTGACTACATTGATTGGTGGACTATTACAGAGAAGTCGAGGATATGGTTCGGTAGACAGTTCTCAAGGCAACCTGATCGAGATTCTGATTCAATGGCGATTGACCAAGCAGCTGCTGTCGCTGCTGCTGCATTTGCCATTGTTGTGTCAAAAAGGCAAAGCTTCTCGGAACCTAACAGGGAAATGTGGGAGGAAGCTCCACATCAATCTTCTCCGATACGAAGAGAGAGCAAAAGACTTGGTATTACTAGTTTCCAAAATCTCATAAACTAATAATACATTACTAGATGCTTTGATTTCATTTTCTTCGAGGCAAACTAATCAATCAGCTGGTTCGAATCAGGCTCTGTATCAATAAGGGATTTGGAAGGAACAACATACAACAACACTGATGAATATGATGAAAACCCAGCTACAAAGGTTGTTGGTCCTGTCTCATCAATGAAAAGGACACCTACATTTGCTGATAAGCCTGCTTCATCAATGAAGAAAGCTCCAAGATTTTCTGAAAACCCTGTTTCGTCCATGAAAAGGGCACCATCATTCATGGAGAAACCTGTTCTATCCATGGAACGATTGCCAGCTACGGCCCAGTTGCAACTGAACAACATGGATGGTAAGAGGAAGGACAAAATCGATGAATCACAAGTTGAACAGCCCTCCAAAAGACCTGAAATTTCCTTAGCAAAACCCGATGGAACTCTTAACCCTGCAATCCCACCTTCTAAGCCTTCCAGAAGGACTGGGAATATTGGAGAGTCAGCAGCAGCAGATGCATGGGAGAGGGTTGAATTGGAGAAGCTGAAAGACAAGTATGGATAAAAGGAGTGTCCAATTTTTAGATGCTTTACTTCCCATCAATTTGTCCTTTCCCTGAAAAAGCCAGTACATGTCGCAGGTATGAGAAGGAAGAAGAACAGATTGTCTCCTGGGAGAGTGAAAAGAAAGAAAAAGCTAAACATCGACTTGACAAAACTGAGGTTTTCTTGCTTCGCTACCTTTTTGCTTGTTTCTTCAGCCAAAGATAAGTTGTAGGGTTAGGAAATGTCACACAGTTGGTTGGATTTTTACAGAGTGAACCTGAGAGGACAAGGTTGAAAGCATTGGAAAGGTTTCAAAGTGACATGGACACTGTCACTCAGATTGCAGAAGCAGCCAGAGCAAAGATAGCTAGGAAGCAGAAGAAGGAAGAGTTGAGAGTGAAAGAGAAAGCAGACATATATAGAAGCACAGGCCAAATTCCAAGAAGTACATGTTTCTGCTTCTGAGTGTCAGCTGTTACATGGCGCTTTGTTGGGTTGAGGTTGAATTATTAAATGTAAATAAAGTGTAAATAAACACTTATTTCATGGTTGTATATACATAAATCGATAGATTGAATCTTTGTAAGACTAAGTTCTTTGTGTTGAACAATATTGATAAAGAAGCAAAAGATCCATTACAAGAAGAATGATGATAAAGGTTAATGTTTGCTGCCAAAATAGGAAAATTTAAATCAAAGTCGGTGTAAGCAGCACCAGCCATCAACTACACAAAAATAGATCCTTGCAAGTATATAACATCCGAAGTCTCGGTTTCTTGACTACAAAAGATAAATCATAATATAACTTCAGAAATTCTCGCTTACAGAAAAATGTCACGAAACATTTCAAGAGAAGCAAAAGTATATTAAACAAGGACCATCAATCAATATATCAAATTTACAACACCAAAAACATCAGGACACTATCTCTAATATAAGCTTAGCCAAATTAGGATGAGCAAAATACAACACCATGTAAGACGGTATCGCAAAAATAAAAGTGACAATAAAGTAGTGAATCAAGATCGTCGACCAACTTGTGCAAGGAGAAAAACAGATCCTGCCTCCCCACATTATTACCACCATCTCTACCAATATGGGCAGTGGCGGACTCAGAATCGTCGGAGAGTTGTGTCGTTGATAAAATAAGATAATAATTAAATATTATTAAAAATTTTAATAGAAATTACTAGAAATTAATTCGTAAAGTTCACAATGTCATGTTTACAACGAACCACGATGACTTTTCATGTCCTAAAATGTCTGTAAAAGACATTCATCGCTTATGTTGCGAAGCAAACTCTTTTCGATATACACAACTAAACAATTATTCATAAATTGGTCACTCAACCGATTTCGAAGTTCATTCTTGATTATCTTCATAGATAAAAATCTTCTTTCGCAGCTTGCAATTGCAACAGGTAAAGTCAACACCAACTTCAAGAGCAGGTAAAACTAAATGTTAAAAGAAAAGCGGATGTGACAGTGGGTCTCAGTAGTTAGAAACTAAAACGGGTAAGGGTGATTTTTTTATTTCATTTTTTATTTTCAAAGAAGGAACGGTGAAGAGGTGCAAACAATGAGTTTCAAAGGATGAGATTATGTTTTTCTTTTTTTCATTGTTGGGTTGTGGTGTGGAATACTTTAAAACAAGCATACTTATTTGATTGTACTTATTATTGTTTATTACTAATTAAAATAAATAACTTTATAACAAGAAAATCATTCTCATGAAGTGTGTCGCTCACAATCATTTGAGATGTGTCGGAACTCGTGAATTAAAAAATTTGTACTAAAAATATATAGGTCCTTCACAAACCCTTTATTAGGTCCGCCTCTGACCATGAGCATGCACTCCATAGTCCAACCATTGATTTTGCTCAGTCCTCCCGATGAGTTCATTACTCGAAGACCAAACAGGTTGATCAGCCAAAGTAGAAGAGCACGTGATGACGTTCAATTTATAGTGTTTATCACTCACATATTTGATATATTTTCCCCTTCTATCATCATTAGTATTTTTTATTATATTTCATATGAATATCGTAACTATTTCATTTTTTAGGTAAGATAGAACTTGAGTGTGTGTTTCTACTATTTTACACCTTTTGGGGTGTTTTGCGCTTTTCAACGATATAATGCACTCAAGACGAATATGGATCACCAAGGGACCTAGTGTACGTCAGATGCACACTTTATCACTACAAGAAAAAAGGCTTTTTGCAACCACTATGATTGGTCCCTAAAAGTCTAAAATTGGTTATTAATCCTCTTTCACAGCCAAAATATTTTGATAGCATAATTGGTCACTATAGCCGCGTTACGAATACCTAATGCAACCAAAATAGTGATTGGTAGCTGAAAATCAAGCTATCGCAACCAATTTTGCCAAAGGAAAAACCCTTGATTTTTTGCAACCATTTAAAATTTGATTTCCATAGTCCAAACTAATAGTTAGAAAATGTAGGTGACCGGTCTCCATAAACACAAATGAAAACCAATTTATGTAACCAATAATATCATTATGACAACCAATTTTTTCGGTTATAAAAGTTTAGCGCAACTATGAAACTTGGTCGTGAAAAATATACATGCCAGCCGACCATATCATTTTAGCTGACTAACTAAATTTGTAATAAAATTTTAGCACAACCATTAGAATTGGTCGTGAAAAACACATACCTCAACCAATTAAAACACTTTGGTGACCAATAGTTTTAGTTATGAAAGTTTAATGCAACCTCAAAAAATGGTCGCAAAAAATACATATGCCGACCAATCACGTTACTTTAGGTAACTAATTTCAATAGTTATAACAGTTTAACACAACCATAATTATTGGTCGTAAAATATATGAATGGCAACCAACCATACCTTTATAAAAGTTTAAATGTAACCATAAGAATTGGTTGCGATAAACACATAAGCCGACCGAAAAATTTATTTCATATAACCAATTGGGTCGATGAGATTTTGGTCACTAAACAAAAATCTTAAAAATTAAATAGAATGATAATACAAAAAAAATTTATATAACAAAATTGTTTAGTAACCAAATTGTAATTACTGACTCAACCCGAATGTCACAATTAAATCTCACCTAATGCACAAGTATAAATCTTAAATGGGTGCAATATAAGGAAAATATATTTAAATATCGTTTCGGGCCGGGCCATGTACCCCTACTTCGACTGTTTGAAACATTATCTAGCAAAGTGTAGTTTGTGAAAATATCTACAACAATTAAAATGAAGGACTCAAAAAGTAAAAGGATTGAAACTCTTGGTGAGAAGCTTCACTCGGGAGTTGTTTCCCCCTAACTAACTACCATGACCCGTGGGTTCGAATGAATCGGTGTGGGAAAAGGCGATTGTTGACCGCTAGGAGGAGCAACAATGGTTAGAAACCACACTGTCAATTGCTAGGTCAAGAAATGCATTATAGGCTACAAATGTAGCCTTCTTGGCCCCAAGCAATTGAGGGTTGACTTACCTTCTCCCTCAAACCGGGGGTTTGGACTGCTTAATTACAATTAACCTAGGTATTCAATTTGAGATTAGAGATTTTACTTACATTAACCTAGATAGGAGGCATGGAATTTCCAAGAAAACCTAGCTCAATTGAGCCTCTTAAGATAATGGGTTTCCCTCTAAGCTAGGTTAGAATAGCACAATAGATTTCCAAGCACACACAATGCACAATCACCATGAAAAATACCTCAAAACTCAAATTAAAAACCACCCATACACAATCATTCAATCCACACAATTAACTACGTGTTAGAAGTCAGGGTTCCACAACACCCAAGTGAATAGGAGCCTACTCCATCGTAGAAGAAGGAAGAACACAAAGGAAAAGGAAAAAACCATCATTGTGATGCCTATATCCTCCTTATGTTTGTAGATATCCTCTCTTGAAGAGAAACTTCCCAAATCTTGACTTGGAGTAAACCCTAGCTTCTTCTCCCTCTTGGTACGTGGCTTTCTCTCTCTAGATTCTTGAAGAAGAAGAAGTAGGTTTCTCTCACTTTGGGCGCTCCCTTCTTCTTCCTTTCAGCTCTCCTTTGATACATAGATCGTGCCTAGTTCACGACTGTGAACTAATGGCGGAGATCGTGAACTCAAACCAATTCGCGTCGTTTCATTCAGCCGGTTCACGGTCCATGGCTTCAGTTCACGGCCTTGCGACCGTGAATTGGGTTGATGCCAGTAACCTCTAGAGTAGCTCATGAACCCTATTAGTTCACGATTTATGGATCTAGTTCACGATCCAGATGACTGTGAACTTCCTGCCTGGACCGTGATCTTCGGCTGCTTCCTCCTTTAGTCCAATCTTCGCGCCATTTCTTACAACAATTGACTCCGGGGTTTGTTGCACCTGTTAGATTCTGAAACACACGGAAACACGGCAAACCTAGCGTAAAACCACACTTTCGGATCTGAAATGCCACAAATGCCAAAGATAAATGGGGATCAAAAGTGTATATTTAGGCTCGAATCACTCCCTCACACTTAGACGTTTGATTCGGGCTCAAATGTACACATTTTACCCCTCATTTCTTATTTGTTTAGCTTAGTATTTCATCATTCCTTGACATATTTCACGCTAGGTTCTGCTTGTTTTTAATACATTTCAGGTCCTAGCACGTGTGGAAGGGTCGAGGACGAGCTTTGGGATATTTAGAGGTCGAAAAGCGCAAAAATCGAAGAAAAGCCCTAGAAACAGCCGCAGTTCACGACCGGACAAGGCAGTTCACGGTCTCCTAAGACCTTGAAAATGGACCACAAACCGTAAACATCGAGCAGTCCAGCGAGGTTCGTGAAGTTACTGACGACAAGGCAATTCATGATCTCTAAGACCGTGAACTAGGGCCATTGGCCGTGAACCCAGGCGCGTTTTGGACAACGCTGAGTTCACGGACGCGTTTAGGTTTCACGGCCTTGAACTGGCCAACGCGTCCGTGAACTTATTGCTTTTGGGCAAATATGAGGACAACAGCGGGGAGAGAGAAAGGGGAGTTGGTTTTTGAAGAAGAAACACTTTCTTTCTCTAGGGTTTCAACCTAAAAACCAAAGGGGAGTTCTAGTGTGTGTGTGTGTGTGTGTGAGAGGGAGAGAGAGAGAGAGAGAGTGCTAGAGTGATCTTGGAGCATCATTGGAGGCTTTGGTGGAATATTCAAGCCTAGAAGAAGAAGAAGAAGATCTTGAGCTCAAATTTGTAATCTCTCTCTCTCTCTCTCTCTCTCTCTCTCTCTAGAAACCCAATCTTTTCTCTTGGGTGTTGTAGATCCCTAACTAACACTTTGTAATTACTTGTTTAGATTGAATGATTGTCATTGGGTAGTGATTAATTCAAGGATTGAGGTATTATTCATGTAGATTGTGCATGCTCGTGCTTAGCAATCTAAGGGTTGTGCATGTTTTGTGCTTAGCATCCTTAGGTTTGTGCATTGTGGTGCTTAGCAACCTAAGGATTGTGCATAATTTTGCTTAGCACCCTTAGGTTTGTGCATTGTGGTGCTTAGCAACCTAAGGATTGT